CCCGCTGAAACGTGGAAATCTACCCTGCCACTTTTTGATTTGCTCATTTGTCGATCCAAGTAGCGTGCGAGGAGCCGTGGGAGACTTACTCTCTCTCTCTCTCTCTCTCTCTCTCTCTCTCTCTTACACACACACACACACACACATTCCATCGATAGGATGAGCAAAAACGGAATGAATCTTCTGCTAAAACGTAGAAGTATACCCTGCCACTTTTTAATTTGCTAAACTGTCGATCCAAGTAGCGTGCGGCGAGGCGCGAGTTGGAGACGTATAGGCTCTCTCTTTCTCGCACACACACGTACACACACACACACACACGCACGCACACACACACACACACACACACTCCATCGATAGGATGAGCAAAAACGGAATGAATCTTCCGTTGAAACGTGGAAATATTCAATGCCACTTTTTGATTCGCTCATTCTATCGATCTACGTAGCGCGCGGTCGAGCCGTGGTCGGAGACTTGGTTGTTGGCCAAGGTCGGAGACTTATTGTCTCCCTCTCTCACACACACACACATACATACGCACACACACATAGTAATGTATACATCCAAATCGTAGCGGTAGATTCAATTGATTTTGTTCTTATTTATTTATTTATTTATTTATTTTATTTATTCTATTCTATTCTATTTATCTTGTCGATATATCATGAGGTAAGCCAGAAGATCGAAACTTACCTCTTCCCTCTCTCCCCGTCGTCGTCGTCGTCCGCTCGTCGTTGTCGTGCTTGTCGCAGGGTCACGTAAGTGTTTCCTCCTCCCCTCTTTTTCTTTCTACTCCTACTTCTTCTTCTTCCTCCTCCTTCCTTCTCCTTCTTCTTCTCCTTCTTTCTCTTTTTTTTTTCAGCACCTCCTTTCCTCAAAATGATAAGGTTCAATGAACTTCTCACAGCACCCCCAGCGGCAAACCGCCGAGATCACCGCAATCCAGACGCTTCACCGGACCATTCAATCGGGAGGAGCGACGACGGTGTGTACAAAGGGCAGGGACGTAATCAGCGTGAGCTGATGACTCGCGCTTACTAGGCATTCCTCGTTCAAGATCGTTAATTACAACAGTCTAGCCCGTCGTGATGAACCTTTTTTCCGTCTCCCGCTTTTTCTTCTTCTTCTTCTTCTTCTTCTTCTTCTCGTGCCTACCCCTTCTGTGCGTGCGCTGCTTCTTTTCTGGCTGCGCCTCTCTTCCTTCCGCTCACGCTACCTCCCCGCTGTTTTCCCGCACGTCCCCACGCCGTCGCCCGATTTCCTCCCTCACATTCACTTCGTCTTTGGCGCCCGATCAAATCCCGTTGTTCTGCTAGTCTTCTCCCTCGCTATCCTCCTTCCCCTTCTTTTTCTTCTTCTTCTCCTCTTTCTACTATTTCTCCTTCCCCCCCCCCCATATCGTTCTACTCTTTCTTTGCGCGGACATCTCTACTACATCCCGTGCTAATCTTCCCTCTTGTCGCGCCTGGTTCTTCACACTTTTGTGCACGCATTCCTGCACGCTCCACTCCTACTAGCCCGCTTTTCCCATCGCACGCCCGCTCTTCCAACCTCCTCGCGATGGTCCTCCCACAGTCGTCCCTTACGCGATGGTCCTCCCACAGTCGTCCCTTACGCGATGGTCATTCACGACTCCTTCGAGTGATCCTCTCAACTTTCGAGGTCGGGATTCGTATCAGCAGAAAGGCGGCCAAGACCTGGTAGGAGCGGCTAGTAAGTCTCTTTCCCTGTCGATGAACTTGTTGTGGATTCCACGACAGATTCATCAAAGTAAAAGAAATCCAACTAAAATAAATAACACGGATCCAAAAAGAAGAAAATTTAATAATGGAAAAATAAAATAAAATAGAAAGGAAAGAAAAAGAATCTAACTCCTAACAACCTCGTTACGCCACTTGTTGCAATAGTTCTAACGAATCCCGAATTCGTAACTGTTGTAACGAGTCCCGGATTTAAGGTCACGGGTTCAAGTCCTGGTCATCTAAGACCGGGCAAAAAAAAATAGAGTTCCCTTCTCAAAAGGGAGCTAGCTCAAAGGACAATCGGTCTTGATCCCCAAATTCCCCACATGTCAAACAATGCTAAAACCTACTGAGCTAGCTCACACTTCAGGTAAAAATAGAGCAGTTTCAGTATGTATAGAGCAACGGCTCGGGGCTCGGCCCGACTAGCGATCCGTTCTCGTCTTTTAAATGTGTACGTGCACGCTTGCTGGTCTGCGTGTCTGCCTGTGTGCTCGCCGACTTGAGTACGTGTGTGTGTGACCAGCAAGGGCACATAGTAGGTTGGAAGGCCTGAAGGGCCGGTACTTAGCCGTGGCTGAGACATTGAGGGTCGCAGCGGGGAAAACACTCAAGTGGCGGGAAAAGAGACTCGCGATAGCGGAAAACACTCAAGTAACATGCAGGCCGGTACCTCACCAAGTAGAGGTAGATGCGCCGGGTACTCAGGCCGAGTAGAAGAGGACAAAAGTTGGCATTTTCAAAGGCCCAGTACCGTCAGTTAGGCGGACACTGGTTCCAGTAGTACGAGTCTAGGCCCTGCACGAACGATATCAGAGTTTGCAACGATGTCTCCCTCTGCAGAGGGACGAAGGCACCGGTCGCTAGGGTAGTCATGCGGTCAGGAAATCACCTTCCCAGGGCGACTCCCTTTCTACCTACGGGAGGCTGAGTTAGAGCCTCAACCTCGCTTACGGTGCACTAGTAAGGATAAAGGTACCGCTTGAGCAAACGTCAGCAATCGGGTTGCTACCTCAACCCCGATGATCATACACTAATAATTGCTCCGGTCGTACGACCGGGGCGCATATTAATTTATTCTGACTGACGTACTGACGATTAAGTCTCAGTGTACATCGTAGATCTACTCGTCATAACATAAACCCTATCGACCCCTCAACCTCTTCGGTTGAAGGGTATTACTGCAGATCCTAACCTTTACAGCGTGCGTCATAACAACTCGCGCGCATACTTAACGAAATTTTCCCACCGATTTTTACCCCGGCCTCAATGGCCGAGGAATTCGTTTCGAGTGTCACGCTCAGGCGTGCACACCGTTTCCATTCCAGACTGGCTCCGTCATGGTAGTCGACGCCGTCACCGTGTCGAATGCAAAAGCATGGCCAAATACCCTTGTAAGGGTATAAGGGTATTTGGTCCGACAGCATCCCAGACCTCATTAAGCGACGTCCCCGTCGCTCGGAGAACTATATGCACACAAAAATATTTTCAGACAAGCAGTTTGTCAAATCCGAACCCTGGGGTGAGATGTGGTTTAGGATTGACGTTGTCACCTCACTTTTCATTACTACTGCCGGGATCTTAACCCGGGTCTCCCACATAAAATAACTGAATAACTACAAGTGGGGATACTTGATCCGTACTACAGTATATGAAATAGTAAAGTATGACAACGCGCCTTTCCTTTCCCCACTACCTTAGACTTTCGATCCAGGTATTCGTTGGTTGTTTTCGGGGTTGGCGTTCGTGTACGAACTCATCCCGTCAAATGAGGGTTTTTAACCGAGACCTTGGTTTTTTCAACTTTTGATATTAATTGTCCAAAGTTGCCTGTTGTCCTGCCCGAAGCCTAATAAAGGAGGACATAGTCTCCATCTTGACCCACCACAATCCTGTTGATCAGGCCGGAGCTGCGGCCCACCGCGTTGTTGCTTATCAGTGGTTACCCTCGTTGGTTGCGCAACGATGGGTTAGTCATCTTATCTTTTCAAAATATGAATTTCAAACTAATCTCGACCCCTTCGACACCCACTTGAATAGGTTCCTTCACTGGGGTGACCATCCCCTCTAGCCCCTTTTCTAGCCCATAGTCGAAGGGTTTCGATCCAGGTATTCGTTGGTTGTTTTCGGGGTTCGCGTTCGTGTACGAACTCATATCGTCAAATGAGGGTCTTTAACCGAGACCTTATTTTTTTCAACTTTTGATATTAATTGTCCAAAGTTGTCTGCTGTCCTGCCCGAAGCCTAATAAAGGAGGACAACGGTCTCCATCTTGACCCACCACAATCCTGCTGATCAGGCCGGAGTTGCGGCCCACCTTGTTGTTGCTTATCGGTGGTTACCCTCGTTCGTTGCGCAACGATGGGTTAGTCATCCTATTTTTTCAAAATATGAATTTCAAACTAATCTCGACCCCTTCGACACCCACCTGAATAGGTTCCTTCACTGGGGTGACCATCCCCTCTAGCCCCTTTTCTAGGCCATAGTCGAAGGGTCCGCTGCCTGGTTATGCTAGGTCAGCAGCCCACGCTGGGAGTTACGTCCCAATGATGCAAAGTTTCCACCATAGGCTTGGTAGTTTTATGCCCTCAGGTTAACCTTTGAGGTGGATGAACGATGCTTTAAATAAACCAAATAAATGAGAATTTTTAATAAATTGAGTAATCGTCAGACTGCCACTCAGGGTTGTGCCCTAAAAGTCGTTGATCATAGCTAGGTGAGGCACGCATCTCGGGGTCATTTTGCATATAGAAAACCATTCTTTTTAAATGAAATAAATATTTGTTGACTCTTTGCTTGTCTGAAACCATCAAAACAAATATCTCATTCAATGGAAAAACGATCACAAAGGTTTCAACTCTTTGACAAGAGTTTGTCCATGTCGTAGCATGATTCTTAAATATGAAATGTACAAACAATCCAGTCTTTGAAGTTTCACAAACACTCATCAATCTTTCACATGAAATACAGATCTTCCCGTCCCTCTATCACCTCTTTAGATCTCAACAGAGTCTAGTAATGATAGACGAAGGGAGATATAAGGGCACAAAAAGACTTAACCAAAGACAAAGGTATACACACATTGTGACAAGTACGTCGAGCTCATCAACTCATCCCCCTGAAAGATGTATATAAATACAAAATATGTTACAGAGTCAAATTGCCACTCACCTCTACTATCCCTCAAATACCTCACATGTTTTTTCCTATACTACTTCCTATGCTAAGTCTCCTTATCTGGCTGAAGGAAGAAACACAACATGTCTCACACTTTTACTATGTCTAACTTGAGAAGAAAACACATACCACACGCTCTAAATTACATCTTTCTCCCTCTCATAACTGTTTTACAAGCCAATACAAGTCATGATTTACACAGAAACATTTACCTACCCCTATCTAGAAATCAATTGGCAGTCCCAGTATCCTGTGGAGTGCTACCCTGCCTCCCTCGGGTATCCTGGGAATGATCTGCCCCGTGCAGACCACCAATCTCTTATGATTATCATATTTGGTCTTTCCTTCCTTGATATATACTGCCAGAATGGAACAATCATCCCTAAGATGCCCTTCCTGAGTGCAGAAGAAATACCTCTTTCCAGCCATACTAGGCTTGACCTTGTTTATGTCTGGCTGGGTTGAAGTCTCAGCCTGATCCTTTTCTTCACCCTCCTTTCTCTCCACCATCTTTGTGGTTTCCTTTTCGTTCCCCTGATGGCTCAATTTGAGTCCCTCCGTTCCTTTCAATATCTCACCCCATCTTTTCTCCCACTCCTGTCCCAACTTCTTTCTTTCTGAGATTTCAGTGTCCAGGTCCAGTCCTTGCACACCGACCTCAGAGCACAGACCTTCCACCTTCTTTTCCACCCTTCCTCTTGCAGCCGCTTCATCCTCCAATTCTCTGCCTTTCATAGTCAGTGCGGCCCTCAATTGACTCACTTGTTTCTGCAATTCCTCCTTCCCCTTCTTTAACTCCTTCATTTCCTTCCTCATTCCTACCAGCTTTGCCATTTGTGTATCTCTCTCTTTTTCCTTCTTTCTTAACCTGCTCATCTCCTTCAAGAGCCCAAGGATGTAATCCAAGAACCCTTGAGTGAAGAGTTCAGTGTTGCCTTTGAGTTTTACCTGGAGTCCCTTTCCTATTGTGTCCAGGTCTTCCCCAACCTCTTTCACTCCACCTTCTCCTTCCATCTTTCCCATCTTCCTGGCAATCTCAGCATAATCTTCGAAGAGTCTGGTGCATTTTTCATCCAGCATCTCGTGCAACTCCATCATCTTCTGCAAGTTTTCTGAGTGCTTTGAACTTACCACCAGCTCTGAGAGGAGCATCCTCTCAAATCTCACATCCCATGTGGAGTTCACTGGCAGATCATCATCCTGCAGCATTCCAATCATATAATTTCTCCATCCTCTCTTCTTCCTGTCCTTTTGCGTATTTTCCTCCTTACTTTCCTGCTTTTCCTCCACCTCTTTTCTCAACTAGGATGTCTCTATACCCTCTGCTCTCCTCTTTCCTGTTTCAGCTTCCTCTCCCTTGCCTTCTTTTGGCCTCCGTTCTTTTTCGCCCTTCCCTCCTTTCTTTCCTTCTCTGTCTCTAATCGGCTCTTTTCCATCAGTCCTCCCAACTCTTGGAGCCTTGCCTCCTTCCTGGATCTTTTTTCCTTCTCCTGTCTCCTTTGCTCCTCCTTCCTTCTCACTCCCCTTCTCTTGTACCTCTTTCCTTCCAATCTCAACTGGTCTTTTATCTCCAGTCCTTCTCTCCCTTGGTGCCGCATTAGCCTCCATGCTTCTTTTTCTTCTTTCTGCTTCCTCCTTCTCCCCCTGTTCATCTCCCCCTGCCTGATCGGATCCCTTGTTGTTGCCCTTGGGGGCCACCCTCGCCTTGTTCTTCAATCTTTTCAGAGGCACATCATCTTCCTCTTCATCTTCTGCCTCCTTCCCTTGTGGCTTATCCATCTCTCTTCCAATCCATAACCCTCTTTCCTGCAACCTTTCCTTTCTTGTCTGATCCTGCCTGGCTTGGGTGTAGGCTATGCACAATTCTGTTGTTATTCTCAGTCAGGTTCGACTTCCTTCCACGATCCTCTTTACTTCCCCCTTCTGACTATTTTTTGTTCTCGCAATCAACTGCTTCTTCTTCTCCTCTTCACTCAATTCCCCTCTCTCAGCTGCCAGTTGCAAACTGTCGATAAAATCTTCCAGATTGGTCCCATCAAATCTTAGGTCATCCTCAACATCGTCGCTTGGGAAGACCCCCATCTCCTTCCAGTGCTTCCACAACCTCACCTTGCATACTCTCCACCTCGTGCATCATGCCACCACTCCTTCAATCTTTTTCTTGTACATTCCTACTCCAGTCACATTCGCGAGTTTTTCCCTGTCACCCCGTTCTCTCCTGAATGCATACTCCTCAAGGTTTCGCAGGTATACTCGCAGGCTGTCTCCAACCCTGTAAATGGGCAGCTCCTCCAGGTTCCTTGAGACATTCTGATCCCTCCTCTGCCCCCCCTTTCTCAAGGTAGGTCCAGAGGGCCCTGCCACTGCTCTTCTCTGCGCCATGGCCTCTTCTTTCCAAGGGTCACGCCTGCACACAGAGAAGGAGCAATTGACAGGCACAAGGGTCAGATCATCATCAAGGCAACACTTCTCATTAAACACAAGTTTTACCAAGCCTCTTTTATTTGGTACTCACAGGCATGCACATATATACATATACATATATATGTCTGTATATATATATATATATATACATATATATATATATATACATATATATATATATATACATATATATACACTTGCGTGTGCATACACATGTACATTCTATCTATACCTTTCACATTCATGTACGTATACATATACATATATATATATATACATGTATATATGTATTCACACATGCTTGAGTATATACTTAGGCACTTAGGTACGTACATGCATAGGTACTGTTACACATACATGTCTAGTCACTTCTTAGTCTACTCAGGCTCTCTGCATCATAGTTGGGCTCACCTCTTCTCTGATTCAGAACTTCTTTAGTCTGGACCCTGAAACCGTGTCCTTCCATGGAGTCCCATCCATCTCTTCTAGCTCGTAGGCCCCATGAAGTCCCTGCTTCCTGACTTTGAACGGACCAAGCCACCGTTTGTGCAGTTTTCACGACCACTGCATTTCCAAAGAGGAATCGTAGAGTAGTACTGTCTCTCCAACTTGTAGAGGTTCGAGTCTCACTCTAGGTAACTTGTCCCACCTTTCCTTATCCTTTCCTTCGCTGTCTGCAACGTTCATGGCCACTTCCTGCACCCTTTCTTCAGTGACGTTGATCTGCCTTGCCCTCAGATCTAGCAGTTCCTCCAAGGTCAAATTGTTTTCCAGGTCCTGCCTGCGCCAAGTTTTCAGGAAACTTTCAATTGGAAATGTGGCGTGACGCCCATACCAGAGTGTCACAGGTGCATACCCAGTCGTCCTTTTTACAATGATGTTCTCCACAAAGAACAATGTTCTTAGGAACTTTGGCTAGAGGTTCGGCCTCCCACTGGTCCATTTGGCCAGTAAGTTAGTAATTGTACTATGACCTCTCTCGACTTGTGCATTCGCTTGTGGATGAACCCGAGTCGTATAGCTATCTATGACCCCCAATTCCTTCATCAACTCCTTCACATCCCCACATGTGAACTCAGACCCCCTGTCCATCGTGAATTCCAATATGAATGGATATCTGAGATAATACTTTTTAATACAATCTGTCAGCGTTATCCCGGTCTTGTTCCTGATCGCTCTGCCATCAACGAACCAGTAAGGTTATTCCTCGCGTCAAATATATAGTTATACCCTTCAAGTCCCAGTGGCATAGCTAACAGATCCAAGTGAACAACTGCCCCAACTTCCTTGATATATCTAGGATGCAGAGGTTCCTTGTATCTAATAGGCGATCGTATCTGACTGGGTACGCACGACTCACAGTATTTTCGTGTCATTTCAAACATTCCTTCCCAGTAGTAGAGTTTCATCGCCTTTTTGTAAGTAGCTGCGAAACTCCGATGTCCTCCAACTATCCCATCATGCAACGCGACTACTATGTCAATCTGACGATTCCTCCCACATACGACACGTCACGGCGGGCCCCTCTTGTCCCTGATGAACAAATGACCACCTCTTACCACATAGTGATCTCTCATCCTGAGAGTCTTTTCACTCACTTCCCTCTCTCTTTTATCTCATGAGAGGAGCAACGCCATTTCTAAATAGAATCCATCGTATTCTTCCTCTCTGAATTCCTCTTGTTCGAATTCTCCTTCCTTCTCCTCATTAAATTCGAAATCATCTCCAATTACTATGTCATCGGCCTTCACTATCCCTCTTTCATTATTCGCTTGAACTTGCAATAGGGAGTTCGTTAGATAGTACATTCTTCCCATCATGACTACTTGCTCATCCGCCTGTTGGACTCCTGCTTCAATCGTTCGCGGCTCATCCATCACCCTATAGCTCTTGCCAGGGCCAACTCCATCATCCACTCCGTATTTCTCTTGCCCCAAGAGTCTTCTTCCTCTAATGGTGTGAGTATTAGGGAAGGTTCTCTCATAAATTCGGAAGGTGGATGCCACATCAGATTTCCTCTCCTCATTTCCTTACTTTCGACAAACATGAACCAACAATTCACATGAGTCCGCATGTCTTCCCCTTCTTCCAAAAATCCATCCACCGGAGGTGTTTCTTCCTCAGCTTCTTCCTGGTTCCCCCACTCAATTCTGCTCATGCCATCCGCCCTATTCTTGTTCCCAGGGATCCATTCTAACTGGAAGTCAAACATCCAGATATAGGTGAACCATCTGGCTATGGTCGGATCTGAGGGCGAGAAATTCTTGAGCGAGTACACAAGTATCGTTGGATCAATCCTGAGTACAAACCTCCTCCCAAAGAGGTAATGCCTAAAGATTCTTAGGCAATGTAGGACCGCCAAGACTTCTCTTTTAAACTATGAGTAATTCCTCTCTGTTGAGTTGAGCGTTCGACTCTCAAACCTCTGCGGTATTTCCTTCCCTTCACTGTCTGCCTGAATCAAAACGCCTCCCAAAGCGGTAGGCCCAGCATCAGTCTCAACTATGAAAGGTCGTTCCATAGCTGCGTCAAAGTCTGATACTCCCAATACCAGACCTCCTTCTCCGAATTCCCTTTTTAGCTTTTCCAACACTTCTTCTTGATGGTTTCCCCACTCTCATTCCTGATCCTTTCGTACTAACTTCCTTAGATGCTCTGTTTTACTGGCAAATCCTTCTATGAACCTTCTCCGGAACCCACAGGTTCCTAGGAAGCTCCGAACCTCACCCACATTCCTGAAGCAAGTGGGTCATTCTAGGATTTTATTAGTCTTCTTCTTATCAGGGCATCGACTCTGTTCGTTGCAAATATATCCCAGAATGGTTACCTTCTTTACGCAATGTCTCGACTTCACTTCACTGGTGGCGAGGTTGTATTCTTCTAGTAGCGATATGACTTCTCTCAATCCCTGAACATGCTCCCATACAAACCTTCTTACCCCAGGAGCCACTTCTAACTCGTCCTTCTCAATCGGGCGCTTAACTGCAAGATCATCTATGTACGACTCGGTGATCCGAGGGCTGTTGGGCTGCATTACCCTGATCATGCTTCTTTGCACCATGGCCACAGCATTGGTCCATCCTTGCGGCGCAACATTCATATGAACTAACCCCCTTGGCGTGTGCATCGCCATGATGGGACGGTCTGCCGGATAGACTGGAAATTGATCATACCCGGAGTAGAGGTCGATGAGTGACACAATCGACCTCCCTGCACAAGCTTCTAACAACTGGTCTGCGTTAGGCAACCCTCCAGCATCCCTTACGGTTACCGCATTCAGTCGTTGGAGGTCTTGTACCCATCTGAGTACTCCGTTCGGCTTTACAAAACAGAACCAGGGAGATGCATATGGTCCGCTGGAATATTTTACAACATCCGTATGAATTTTTCCATCTAGGTATTCTACCACCTTCCTGCGATTCTCGGGATTGGGGTACTTAGCTCCTCGGACATTCCATGGCTCGTGAGGTACAGTATGAATGCGGATCATCTCTATCTTGTCCACATCCAACCTCCCAAGTTGATCATCGTTAAAGGCATATGCCCCATGCTTTTCTCGTACCAGCTCTTTCACCAATTCCTCCTCTTGCCTTGTGAGAAACCCAGGTTCCCCTCTTATCAATTTTTTCTCAGTCTCATCGTTGATACAACAAGGCCCATTCTGGATGTCTTCCCTCATTTGCTGTATCAACTCTCTTTCCTGATCATAATATACGCCTTTTTCTTGACTTACTAGGACTGGCAAAGGGTGGTTTTTCTTGTCTACCGTCTTGTACCTCCTTTTGGAGCCCTGCTTGAGCCCACCCTTAAAAAATGCTGACCTGCAGCTTGAGCATTCGGCGCATGTGACACTATTACCTGAGAAGAAGGAGGTGGTCGGTAAACGAGATCGACCCTTCCCCCTTCTAGATCGTCTTGGATCCTTTCTGCGAGTGCTCTAACAGCATCGGAGTCATTCATCCTATAGGCTGATACCAATTTCACTGCGTCACTGATATTTGTTAGACTTAATACAAGCCCTTTGGCTTCTTCATCATCTGACTCCTCTTCTCCTTCCTCCCATTCCAGCTCTCTCCTCCTATTCTCCGACTCCTCGAATGTGTAGGATCCGGCATTGAGTCTGTTCTTCGAGTTGTGCGGGCCTGTGTTCCTACAGGTGATAACCTCGAAATTTCCATAGGCGGGATCGCACAAGATAACGAACATTGTGTCATCATGCTTGTTCATTATGAGCGACTCGGACCGGCACAGGAATGATCTGCCCAATAATATTGGGAGATTCAAGTTGGGCATGACATAGAAACACGTACGTACCTTAACTCTTCCTATCACTATCACCACATTCGATGCAACCCCCGTGTATCCGGTCTTGCCGCTGGCTCCATTGAGAAACCCGCAGTCATTTTCATCCACCGCCAACCCTAGTCTTACCGCAGTTTCTCCGTTTATAATGTTCATTTTAGCCTCGGTATCAACAATCCCAGGACACATCTTCCCCTTTATCATAACATCAATGGACCCTGTTCCCACGATCTTCCAGTCCATTTTGCTTCCTGCCACGCTCCGGTTTGTTTCTTTGGGAATGAGGTCCCCCATCCGGACCGAGGCTACTCTTCGGCGTGATAACCTTGCCTTCACCATCTCCCTTAGCTTAGGAGATAGCGAGGATCTCTTTCAGGTTTAATAGTTAATTGTGTCCTTCTAACAATTTATTCACCAGACTTTCGAGGTCCATTCCTTTTTCGATCGAAGTTTGGTATTTCCTCTTCTTGCTTGGCGCTTCATCCTTTTTGGACCTTCCCTCCACAACTTCACCTTTCCTTCTCTTAACCCCGATTTCCGCATGCTTTTCTTCTTCCTCCCTAATTTTCTCATCCTCGTATTCGTCAGCCTCTACCATGATAGGTGGTTCTTCCTCTGCTGGCTAGGAAGTCTAAGCTTGCTCCTTTAGAGGATTCCCTCCTGCGGGTCTTTTTGTAGCGAACGGAATTGTACCTCTTACACTTCTTTGACCCCCACTGCTCTTCGCGGCCATGTTGGCCCTTAACATTCTTGGGTTGGGCTCATTTGGCCCATCTCCCGATCCTCCACGTCCCATGGTAAATACTTTCGGGCATCCAACCCTTCTTTCCCCGCTTCTTCACATATCCCTTGAAGCCTCAAATGTAGTCTTTGCATCTTATTCACTAGGTCCTCCATCCTATCGAATGGGGTACGTTTTCCTTGTTGTCTTCGATCCCCATTCTACTCAGTTTTTCTTCTAATTCAGTTACTTCTTCCACTCGTACAACTGGTCCTTCCTTTTCTTGCCACATTCTGAACATCCCCGGGGCGTTGGGACCTAGCGCGGCTACGCGAAGGGCCTCTTCTCTAGTGCCTCCTAGAATCTCAGGATCGATCACCCTTCCTGTTCTGTCAAATACCTCGCCATCTATGTTTGATGTTATTGGTCCATCGGGTTCGTCAAGCTTCCTGACGTGACATCGTTTTACCGTGCGTCCTTTGATCCCACAGTGGGTACATGTGCATTCGCTGTAATCTGTCGATCCTCTGCCATAACCCTGTCCGTTCCATGGCCCATTTCCTCTACCAAACCCCCTTCCATAGCCTTGGTCGTAACCACGACCATACCCTTGCTGATATTCTTGCCCTATCGGATTCGCACCCCCTTGGAGTTGTCCCCAATTTCCACCTTGATACCCACTTCCTCTATTTCTTGCTCCTCGTTCCCCTGGTCCCTGATTTCTTCCAGCGTTCCTACCTCTTCCACGTCCTTGTCCTTGTCCTATGGATCTGTTCTGGTTTTGACCACCCTTGCGACTCGACCCTGGTTGGTTCTGCCCTGCTTGTTGAATCTGTCCCGTGCTTTGATCCCCTCCCATATTTTGATTTTGGGGTAACATAGGATATGGCCTTGCGTGGGCCACGGCCCTATCGGGAAATACCCGGGCCATGCTCCCATAGGCGGGCCCATGGGCCATTGTCCGTACCGAGCCGTGCTTGTTGACGACTCTTGCCCATACTGGACTATTGCTTATTGAGTCACCTGTCCTTTTCCCGAGCCTTGTCCTCCGATAGCGATATTTTTAGCATTCCTCTGACACTTGGTCAGTTTGACCGTTCCTTCTGGTTCTCCTTCTTCGGCCTCCTCCTCTCCATCTTCTTCTTCCTTCCTTCTCTTTCCTTACGGCTGTGTCACTGTAAGTACCTTTGCAGGTGTCACTCTTTCCCTAAGCTCCTTGATCTTGTTTGCCATATTGCTCAACACTCCTCCAAGTATACTATCCGTTCCTTGGATCGTCCCAGCTGCCTTTCTTTTCTCTTGTTCGACCTTTATTTGGTAATGGAATACTTAACTGCCATTTCCTCAAAGTTGACATCTTTTATTTTTTGAACGAAATTGAAACCGAGTTTTTTGGCTGAAAACTCGTCAAAATTTGTTGTTCCCTGACTGTACATGGACCTAGATTGAGACCAGGTACCTCCAGGCAGTCCTGCCTGGGGGTGTCTGGTCTCAAGCTAGGTCCATGTATATCCAGGGGGTCCAGCGTTTGTAAAACGCTGGACCTTCAGGAACAACAAATTTTGAAGAGTTTTCGGCCAAAAAACTCAGTTTCAATTTCGTTCAAAAAATAAAAAAATGTCCATTTTGACGAAATGGTCGTTACTTGGTCCATGTTTCCCGCTACGATGTTCCTTTTTATGGTTTCCCAGGTAGTGTTCCTCCTGGCGGCTCCCCCTCGGGTTAGTTCCATCGCCTCATACCCAGAGAATTTCCCTAGGAATATGACGTACTGCATCTCTTCAGACAGCCCCGAACCCTCTCGACTGTCTTTTTGAATGTGTTGGCGAATGCCCTGATCGTGGTGAAATCATCTTTCTTCATGTTATAGAGATGGTCAATCGTGAGCAAGCCATCTCCTAGCTTAAACTTTTTTTGCATGCCCTTTTTAAACTCAACCCAATCATTATTGGACTTTCTCACTACCTCTTTTACGTCAGATGTGCATTCCCACCATACGTATTCGAATAACTGGGCAAACTTCTCGGCTGGGGTCAACTGGTTGAAGATCTTCTCGAGTAGTTATAACCAATGAGTCACCCTATCTCCCTTGAAAGGGAAGATGTCTATTCTTGGTAGGTTCGACCTCTTTATCGTCCTCTTCTCTAGTAACTTAACGATTTTCGCCGCGGTGATTGACGACCCTCCATTGGCGCTGGCAGCGCTCATCTTTTCCCCTTTTCTTTCCTGGTCCCTGCTAGACTGTAGACCCTGTCAAAACATACAAACGACCATTTGATCCACACCTTTTTGTCACTGTCTTGACATTTCCTTTTCCCTTGCTTTCTCTATATTTTATATCCTATGTAACCTTATACCATTTTTTCTCTTAACAGAGTATTTCTCCCAGATGTACCCAATCCCCGTGCAAGAAGCTTCTAACCATACCGAATAAAGAAGGGATATCATCTATAAATTCTTCGATACACGCCTCCGGACAGAGGTTTTGCCAGTAGGTCAAAATATCTTCTAGACGGTAGATACGTAGGTACGTGTTTACCACGCACAGTATGTTATAAAAATCCCTTCCTTTTAGTTTTGGTCTTATTTCTAAGTACAAACGGTAAACAACTTCTGATGCCTTGAACTTGAAGCCCATCTCTGGAACTGATTGGGCTGCGAGTACTGCTTGTTCCACATTCTCGATTCCCCAAAATGCTTCATCAATTATGAAGTGCGGAAGTGTGGCCTTAATATACTTTGTTGGATACACGAATTCGGCGGCCTATTTCGCTTCGATTGATAACCTCTCCTTCTTCTCCCCAGTACATCCTTCTAGAAAATGCATCGAGGGTCATTCCGGCCGTCAGAACATACTTAGAGATGGACCGACTTTCCCCTATCGCGAGGTCGATCACATGTGCCCTTCAGAGAAAGGCTGGTAGATAAAGGGTCACTTTAACTATTGCAAATCTGTCTCTCGAAGTCCATCTGGTCTCTACCCAAAGGAAAGTTTCCTGCCCTAGCGGTATCCCACACCATGAGTCCATTTCTTCATCCATATCTATTGTCCTTCTTGGCAGTGTCATTTCGGCTCCTCCTTCCTTTGGCTTTGGCAGGTTGATCAGAAAATCCTATCAGCGAACCACATTAAAGAAGCCATTCTGGTATCCCTGTTACAACAGCCAAGGAAAGAACCTTTTCCTTCTTAGTAACCACTCAATTTCTCATTTCTTAATAAATTTCTATCTCAGTCTTTCCTGAGCACCCCTTCCTATTTGATCGAGGATTCCCTGCTTCCGTTCCTCCCAGTAGACATGCCTATTTGCCCAATCGTGTTGACGTACAAATGAGTCGACCCGAGATAGTATGTTTTGCGGATCCCTTTCTTTAATCAAATGCCCTATCTCTAGGTATATGTAGTATACCAGCAGAGGGGTAGATACCCCTTCTCTCTCAGGTATCGTCATTGCGGCTTCCGCAACCCTTTTTACCCGGGTCCTTCCTCCGAAGGCTACATCTATGATGAAGAAGGGAAGGGTTCCTCTTAGATATGCTGTTGGCGGAAGAAAATCGCTTGCCCTCCTTACCCTCACAGGTCCTATGACTCTTTCAAACACATTCAGACTTGCATCTCTTCTTCTAGATTCGAGCGTGCATTCTATTATCTATAATAGTCTACAGAGAGATCGATCAATACCTAATACTAAATTTATTATGATAGCTTTCAATTTTTCTGATGAGAAATACAAGGTAATCCTTTCTACCGCACAATTCTCGCCTTTAACCCATCCAGACTCAATCCAGATGAAGGTTTGTTCCTCTATAGAAATCCCCCAACAATATTCCGTCTCTTCGTTCTCCTCGTGGCGACTTGGTAGATTCATCATAAGGCCACGCCTTATTTGCATGGGTTTCCTGACCGTGATTTGATATTGGGCAGAAACCATCCTCTTTTCGTTGGTACACTCCACCTACTACACAACAGAATCCAACCCACATTCTTCCATTTAGCTAACAGACTCTTAATCCTAGGATCCGACTAGTTTCCCCTTTTATTCCGCCAACTTCCCCAACCCTTTTTGACACTTATATAATCTTTTTATACAACAAGTAAGATATTAACCCACAAATTTCTATTTGACACAATATAAATATTAAGAGTGATAGGCACATTCTCCTATCAGTAGACGCAGACTGCGAAACCACAGGAGGATCAGGTACGCGTGGTATCTCGCGGGGCCCTTGTTGGTGAGGCAGGGGAAGGACGGTCGCTGCCTCTCTTGAGACAGTGGGTAAGGGCTATGATGCGGGCGACTAGGCAGCTCGAAGTGTGGTGGAGATTCTCCGAAACGCCTTGCGTACCTATATGAATAATAAGCCATTTCATCAGGGTCCGGGGTATGCATGCGCCTCTCCTCCCGATACCTTCTTGCCCTCAATCCTTCGTCCTTCTCTTCTAGTCCTTCATCATCTTCTTTCCACTCCTCCCTTTCTCTGGTCAAATCTATAGGCCTTTCAGGCGCCTTCCCCTGTCTGCCGCCTCTTCCTCTACCAGTACCGGTCCCACGGCCCTTAGGTGCCATATTTGTTAACTTTAAGTATAAGTAGGACGAT